CTATATTTTATGTTAATAAGTCAAAGTTTTCAAAATATCAAGGAAATGGGAAAATATAAAATGCTTGCAAAATAGCTGGCACTTCCCCAGAGCTTCATAAAACTGAATATGTTCACAGGTCATTTTTCTTTTACAGAAAGGTAATAGGCAGTTCCCAAGAACTTCAACAAACAGTATGTCTATCCCAAAATTTGATCAAAAGATTCAGCTCATACCCTTTATTTTGAAAATGTATTATATATTTGAAAATGTATTAAAATTGTGACACTTGAGATACTTCACTTGAATGTATTCATAGATCTCAATCATATACAGAGATAACTCCTGCCTAACTGCCTCCAAACCCATATCAACCATACATTTACTCTCTAAACTGGCAAACTTTAGAGAGTGAAAGTGTAAACTAGGAATGTCATAGATAAACAAAGAGGTGTGCTCACCCCAACCATGGTCTTAAATAGCACCATTATCTACTTATTTATGCCAGAAACTATAAAGACATCTTATTTCTATTTTTCCCCATCCTCAAATCCAACCTATCAAAAATTATTTTTCTCATGTGTAGAAAACATATCTAATGTCTTTTAATATACATCAATTTCTGCTACTACTATCTTAGCAGAGAATATGAACATTTATTATGTTGACTGTTCTAACAGGTCTTTGCACATACTCCTTGGTCCCTCAAATACATACTCCACAGAAAAACAATGTCATTAAAATGTACATTAGTTTATGTTAATATCTCTATTAAAATCCCTTAATAGTTTTCTATTAAAACTTTTAAGAAGTCAGTTCTTATCATGTCTCACCAAACCATGCCATAAGTTAGCCCTAATCTAATTTTCACCTTAATTTATTATGATTGTCCTTCTCAAGTATTATGAGTTAGACCCATAATCGTTATATTATTTAGCCATATCAAATCCTTTCCAGGCACAGGTCCAAAGTGCATGTTTTATCTTCTGCCTGGAATGTTCTGCTTCTACTCTAATGGACTACTCATTCATGGGGTGTCAGCTTAAACGTTACCTCTTCCAAGACATTTACATATTAATTACAAATTATTTACACCATTCTATAATTTTTTCTACCTCTGTCTCTTATTTTTATTTCATTATCATAAGTATCATAATTGCAAATGTTATTTACTTTTTAACCTTTCTCCCTGACTAGAATACAGAGTCAATGACAATAGCATGCCATTCTATTTTGTTTACGTGATATTCTGACATCACTCAAATTCAAGTAAATAGTGGGACCTTGTATCTTTGTTGACAGCTGAGCAAAATAAGATGTTATAAAAACCATTGATTTATTTGCATTCACCTCTCAAGAGATAAATGAAACTTAGTCTGGGAATGTGTAGCCAATGCAGATCCTGGCATCCTAATATGCACCTAGAAATGAATATACCTAGGCCTTATTTTATTAATTGTGTCCGAACTAGATATTAATCTTTTAAGACTCTGAAAATTTTTGTTCTTGAGTTAATAATTACTCTAGATATTTATATCTCTAAGTATTTGTAAATGATGAATTAGGATTTTTTAAAATAAAGAACCAAATCTCTAATTTTAAAAAACTCTAAAATGTTTCTTCTTCTGATGAGAAATTATTGAAATAGAATACTGCCTCTCGAATAAAAATTTAAGCAGTTACCCTTTAATTTTCATAAAATTTGGTAATTATTAGACATTTGGACCAGAGACTAATAATGCAAATACTGATGGTACTGGTATGGAACCAGACACATAGACTAATGACACTGAAGAGAGAGCCCAGAAATAAACCTTCATATTTATAAACAATTGATATTTGACAAAGATGATGCCAAGAATGCACAATGGGGAAATAATAATCTCTTCAATACATGGGTGTCAGAAATGAGTTTCATGCCATATACAAAATCAACTCAACTTAAATTTAGTTTTTGAATATAAGACCTAAAACTAAAACTGCTTTGAGAAAATATAGGAAAAATGTTCCAACAAATTGTTCTGAACAATAATTGTTTGGATTATGACCCTCAAAAACACAAGTTGCAAAAGCAAAGATAGTCAAAAAGGATTCTCTGAACTAAAAATCTGCACACAAAGGAAAAACAGTCAATAGAACTGAAAGACAACTTACAGAATGGGAGAAAACAATTGCAAAATCCCCCTCTGACAGGAGGTTAATATTGAAAACTGCTGAGGAACTCAGACAACCCAATAGTGAGAAAAACATAACTTGATTGAAAAAAATTGACAAAAACTTGATTAGAAATTTTTCAAAAGAAGACATACAAATGGCCAATAAGCATATGGGAAAAAAAGTTAAATATCACTAGGCATCAGGAAAACATTTAAAACCATTATGAGATGCTACCTCACCCTGATCAGAATGGTTATTATCAAAAAAAATAGAAAGTATTGGTTCTCACCACATTCTTATGTGGAGAAAAAGGAATGCTTGTTCACTGTTGGTAATGTTAATTAATTAAGACATTATGAAAAACAGTATGGAAGTTTCTCAAAAATTTAGAAATAGAACTACAATATGATCCAACAATCTCACCAAAGGGTACATATCCAAAGAAAATGAAATGAGTATGCCAAAGGAACACCTGTACTACAGTTTTCATTGCTGTACTATTCACAATAGCCAAGAGATAGAATTAAACTAGGGCTCATCAATGGATAAAATGTGGTATTTATACACAATGGAATATTGAGCAATTAAAAAAATGAAATCCTAACATCTGCATAAGCATGAATGAGTCAAAAGGGTATTATGTTACGTGAAATGGGTCAGGAAAAAAGGGCAAATATAGCATGGTCTCATTCATATATGGGAGCTTAAATAAAATAAAGCCATGGAGATAGACAACAGAATGAAGATTATTAGAGGCTGAGAACTATAGTGGATGGAGGGGGATAAAAAGAGGTTGGATGGCCGAGCATGGTGGCTCAATCCTGTAATACCAGCACTTTGAGAGGCCGAGCTGGGTGGATCACCTGAGGTCAGGAGTTGGAGATCAGCCTGGCCAACATGGTGAAACTGCATCTCTACTAATAATACAAAAAAAATTTAGCTGGGTATGGTGGTGTGCACCTGTAACCACAGCTACTCCAGAGGCTGAGGCAGGAGAATCACTTGCACATGGGAGGCAGAGGTTGCAGTGAGCTGAGATCCCGCCACTGCACTCCAGCATGAGTGACAGAGGGAGACTCTGTCTCAAAAAACAAAACAAAACAAAACAAACAAACAAACAAAACACAAAAAACAAAGGCGGGGTTTGGCTAACGAGTAGCCAGAAACAGCATCATCTTATCAGTTTAAATGCATCTGGGTTAAATATTTTACAAGATGGTTGTTTTTAGAAATATCTATAGCATAAATGTGTTTAACTGTAAAATGCTGTATTTTGGCTTTTAAAGTAATCATGACAGTGATTTTACATAAACCCTATTTAAAATTCAAATTTTAAAAATAAAAATGTGTCTGTAAATACAAAGCTTATGGCAATTGAAGGTTACATAATAAAGAATTTTTGTTAAAGATAAAATCTATTTTTGTCAAGCAACATAGATGACTTTCTGGTTCATTTATATCAATTTTGAAATGCATTTTGTGAGAGGTCTTATTCTAAGTGTATTGTCAATCAAATGAGCATGTCAATATTGATAACTCAGTTTCCTATTTCACTTAATTGGTGATGAACTATAGTTATACTAAAAAGTTCAAATGAAATAATTCATCACGCAATTTATTATAAGAACACAGAAAATTGCTGTGGCTAATTCTCCTGAAAGTTTTTTTTTTTTTTTTTTAATTAAGTGATAAAATACCTGGAAGTCAAAATATTTCTAACAGCGAGAACTGCCTTTATGTTTTCATATGTGTTATTCCTTTAGAGGTGGAAATAACACACATTAGAGGCGGAAAGTTTGCTGAAGTATTCAGGAGTGAATACAACTTACCTTGTTGCCCTCCCTGAGATAAACTAGACAATTTTATTGATTTTGAAATGGCTCAGGCCTGTTTTTATTTGTTTGTTTGTTTGTTTGTGTTAATTGGCAGGATCTTACCCTGTTGCTTAGGCTGGAGTATAGTGGCACAATCATAGCTTGCTGCAACCTCAAACTCCTGGGCTCAAGTAATACTCTTGCCTTGCCCTCCCAAACAGCTGAGATGATAGGCATGAGTCAGCACACCCAGCCTATCATTGTTTGACCGGCTTTATTACCAAATCACAAACAAAAACTGAAAGAAGGATAGAATGAGAGAAAACATTTTATAAATGCTTATTTTATTATTCATTCATTTCTTTTTTCAAATTGCAAGTTAAGTCTGATGAGAAAGAAAGAGTTCTTTGATGGGCATTGGGCAGTCTTTCTTTCCAATACTCTAGTTCTAGAGTTTTCTCATGCCTTTCATCTGAGTGATTGAGCATGATAGCTAAACTATGAGTCACTATTGTCAGAGACAGCTTCCCATTTACAAAAAGACAAAATTCCTGCTGAAAGGATGAACTTTGGCATACAGAAATCTACCCATTTCGGTTTTCTGAGATCTAATACATCTGATTCATCCTAGTGTCTTTAGGTTTGTTGAGAAACACAAAACATTCAATAGCACATGACTTAACGTTATAAAACATGGTCCCTGGAATTTTTAATAGAAAGGGTAAACACTAGAAATACAATTTTTAAATTAGATGCATGCTTTTCACCCCATTGATTAGTGCCTATGAGTTAAAAGCTTGCAAATGAGAAAAAAAAAAATATTCTCTGGTAGAAAGGGAGACTTCTCATGTCTTTCTGAATATCTAAATGTTATTTTGGGTTTTATGTGATTGAGTCTGAGATATAAAAACAATCTAGGTTTAGAACTTGTAGTGTGGAGTACCTGGAAGGAAGACAATCAAACATGTTTATTAATAACAAGCATTAGATTCCCAGTTAGGTAGGGATATTACACTTACAGGGATTTTTAAAAAAATATTTCTGCAAAGCATGGTCAACCCCACCATGTTTTTTAACCTTGCCATCGATGGTGAGCACTTGGACAACATCTCCGTCAAACTGTTTGCAGACAAGTTTCCAAAGACAACAGAAAACTTTGGTGCTCTGAGCACTGGAGAGAAAGAATTTGGTTATAAGGGTTCCGGCTTTCACAGAATTATTCCAGGGTTTATGTATCAGAGTGCTGACTTCACACGCCATGAAGGCACTGGTGGCAAGTCCATCTATGGGGAGAAATCTGATGATGAGAACTTCATCCGAAAGCATACAGGTCCTGGCATTTTGTCCAGGGCAAATGCTGGACCTAGCACAAACGGTTCCCAGTTTTTCATCTGCACTGCCAACACTGAGTGGTTGAATGGCAAGCATGTGGTCTTTGGCAAAGTGAAAGAAGGCATGAATATTGTGAAGGCCATAGGCTATGGAACGCTTTGGGTACAGAAATGGCAAGACCAGAAAGATCACCATTGTTGACTGTGGACAACTCTAGTAAGTTTCACTTGTATTTTATCTTAACCACTAGACCATTCCTTCTGTAGCTCAGGAGAGCAGCTCTCCACCCCATTTGCTAGCAGTATCCTAGAATCTTTGCGCTCTCGCTGCAGTTCCCTTTGGGTTCCATGTTTTCTTTGTTCCCTTTCATGCCTCGCTGGATTGCAGAGAGTTTATGATGATGAAATTAAAACCAAATAACAAAAAAGTATTTCTGGTAGTTTTTGGTGAAGTGATTTGGAAACACTACTCCAAGAGAAGAATTGGTAATCCTATAAAAAATTATTTTTTTAAATATTTACTTGATGAAACTAAAACACTAACAAGATAACAAATAAATTTGTAGTCAGTTTTTAGAAGAAGAGAACAAACCAGAAAATTGACCTAAATATTGGGCTTGATTTTCCCTAGGGTTATCTGATTCAAATAAAAGTCTTAGATATTCAGATTGCATAAAAATTAGCACACAGATAGTTTGAAACTAGAAGGAATGTAATCACCAAAAAGTTGATGTAGCTATAATACTATCAGACAACAAATACTCTAAGGCAAGAAATTTTATTCGAGATGAAGAGGGACATTTAATATTGATAAACAGGTGAAAGCATCAGGAACATAGGTTACATACGAATACAGCCAATAACATCTTCATAACACAAAATGCAAAAATTCAAAATGAGCAAAGAAGAAACAGTGATATCATAGTGACACTGGCAAACTGTAACATACCGCTATCAGCTGTCAGGGAAACAGACACACAGGAAAGATAATGAAGATAAGAACAAAGTTGACTAATCAGTATCTACAGAATATTTACACTCAAAATTAAAAGAATTCACATTTCTTTCAAATATACTTGTAATATTAATAAAAATAAAGTAAAATAATTACATACTGGATAATAAAGCTTCAGAAGAACTTATTTTTTTCTTTATCACAGCATAGTTTTTAATATTGTTATTTATCCATAAAAAGAAAAATAAGAAAATTCAAATAAAGGCAATTAAACAATATAGTATTAATAATGATCAAAATAAATTTTAAAGACTGTGAACTGTGATAATGAGGTATGACATACAAAATGTACGGGACTAAACTCAATCAATGGTTAGAATAAACATATATTCTTAAAACACATTTATTAGAAATAAAAGTCTTAAAACAAGTCAACTAAACTTTCATTTCAAGAAACCAATAAAGTAACAACAAATCAACATCAAAGAAAGTAGAAATAAACAAATAATATAGACCAAACATTACCAAATATAGCAAAAACCATAAAAAGACAAAATCAATAAAAACAAGTTAGCTTTTGAAAAGACTAATACAACTAATAAACTTTTACTAGAAATTATGAAGAAAAAAATGACATAAATAACAACTTACCAATATCAGAAATGAAAAAGAGGACACTTGTACCATTCCCTTAGACATCAAAAGGAGAAAAAGAGGATACAAATTATGCCTAAATATTATATGTATTAAATGGATATTATTTGCAAATATATAACTTCACAAATACTAACAAAATATATGAATCATTCAATATTTATCCTAAAAATTATACCTTTGGTTTAAAACTTTCCCACAAAGAAACCCCAAGCTCATATGACTTCATCGGTGAATTTTTCCAAATAGTTAAGAAACAAAAAAGCATGAATATTGCATGAGTAGTTCCAGGAAAAGAAAAGAGAGAACACTTTCTAACATTTTCAGAAATCCAGCATAACCTCAACTTCAGTATCTAAAAAGCACAGTCTAAGAATGTAATATCTCAGAAAGCAATTTCCATAACTATTAAGGTAGATGTAATAATCTATTGTATTGACTATTCCTAATCAATCACATCTCTCAGTATTCATGCTCTAGTGGAGTCCTATTTTCTTGAATCTGGCCTGGGCCTAGGTAATAATTTTGGCAATAAAGTGCAGTGAAAATGATGCAGTGCTTGTCCTAATGCAGTGCGTTAGGCTTAAAAAGTGTCCGGCCACTCCTCCTTTTGCACTATTGGGAGCTTTGGGCAACATGTTAGAAGTTCATTCATCATGCTGGAGAAACCACATAAAGAAACAACAATTACATGAAGATAACAGGCATGCTGTCCCATTCTTCCAGCTAAGTGTTGCTCCAACCAAACCATTAGAGGTAGCTACATGAGGCGACACCACTAGCAGAAAAACTGCCTAGATATATCCAGTCCAGACTGCAGAACCAAGAGAATATGAAATGATTGTTCTTTTAAAACTCTTGAGCTTTGCAGTGACTTGTCATGCAACAACGGGTAAGTAAAACAATGGGATATATTACATCTGAACATCTTTATTCTTAAATAAACAACAAAATTGTAAATAGAAGTCACTAAAATTCCAGTCATGTGCTGGAATGTTTCTAGCACTATTATTTATATCAGACGAAAACTAGAAAATACCCAAACATCCATCAACAATAAGAGGGATAATACATTTTGGTATATCTGGAATACTATACCACAATGCGAACAGCTACATCCCACTACTTGTGTGAATTTCACAATTATATTGCTCTGCAATTAAAGCCAAACACCAAAGATTACCACACTATTCCATATGTGTATAGTAAATATACAGACAAATCTAAACTACACTATTAGAAAAAGTCAGAATAGTGGTGATCCTAGAAAAAGAGTATAATGAAGGGAAGGGAGCAGGGAAGTCAGTCCTGAGTGCTGGAACTATATTTGATTGTGTTCCTGCTCTGGGTGCTGATAAGGAGTATGTTGTATTTGAAAACATTTATTAAGCTGTACATTTATGTGTACTTTACTTCAATACAAAGTTGAAAAACATGTGAGATGTAAAGTCAAAAGAATAGCCAAGGAATTCTTAAAGAAACAATGTGAAAAATAAAGTATTTAATAGTAAACCTTACAGAATTTTAATAATAAAGTGTGGTATTAGTGAAATAATAAACAAATAAGGAAACAGAAAAGATTCAATAAATAGATACAAATTCGTGTGGACATTTGATTGTGACTAAAATCACATTATATTGCAGTGGGACAAAGTATGTTCTCAATAAATGAAGCTGTTTCGATTGGCTATCCTTTTGAAAAATAACTGCATAACAATAAAAATGAACAGCTATAACTCTGATCTATTGAATACATGGCTACATTAAATATAATATTAAAAGTAACATGACACAAAAATTAGAAGGCATATAAGATTCAACTTATTTAAAGATCAAAACCAGACATGAAGTTGTGTTAGAGGTCAAAGCACTGGTTTCCCACTAGAGAGAGTGGTAGGTATAATAGGATGCAAAAAAAGGTGCTTCTACAGATTTATGGATATTCAAAACATACGTTTGATTTGTGCCAATCTAGTGAGTTAAAGCAAAATTTAGTGTTTAGCTAGCTAGGTAGTTATCTGTCCATCTATCAATCATACATGTGTTTGGAAAGTTTATGCGTGTTTGTTACTTCATTCAGAAAGTTAAACAATCTAGGTTACAATCAAGGTTATATATTCCGCTGCCAAATTAGCTTTTTGTCAGAATATGATTTAATAAGATGATATGAAGCAAGTAAGTCCCTCTAGACGCAATTAAAACAACTTCTGTTCACAATAACTAAGAGAGAAATTTAACCTACGCCTTTATTAAGCAAAACAATTTTTAAAGGAATTACATTTATTTTAAATAAATGAACTAGTTTTAAGAGCAGAAAAAAAGAAAGACATGCAAAAATTTTAAATGCTATGGCATTTATATGGCAGCTTTCATGCACTGTTTATTAAAAATACTTCCTATGAGAAATGTAATTACTATGGTCCTTATCATTATATATCCCAGGCAGAAGAATTGCAATTTTCTTTGTAAAAATCTCCTTAAAAACACTGCATTGAGAATTCTGTGATCATTGTTTTTTCTCTGTTACAGCATAATGCTTATGCATTTATCACAGATAGGTCTATCTTGCTTTGGAATAAATAAAACTGCAAGCACTTAGACATTAGGGAAATAAGATTATAAAACAATTAAATGAATCAAACAGGTGCCACATCTGAATAAAAGGTCTATGGAGACTTCTACAGCAAGTCCTTAGTGTCAATGGCATTTAAAATGTTGAATCAGAATCAGCCTCTGTGTAAGCCCCATTCTGACTACTAGGGCCCATTCAAAAGCTGTGTTAACCAGAGTCCACATGAAAGAAAGCAGAGCACTGACACCATTATATGGAATTTTAATGGAGTGCTTTAGTGATTGTGAAGGTTCCAGGTTCCACTTGGTTAATGCAGCTGAGATATGAAAAGTTGAGTAGAAAAAGATAGAGATTGAAGTATAATCCTAATGATGATTTCTTTTTGAACTAGTAATCTCAAAGTATTCATGCAATTTTCACAATACTTCCCCACCAGAAACTGCTGTTTTTAATTTATTTTTAATATACATATTTTTTTCTTAATTTTCTGAAATTAATATTTCTTCCCCACTGGTATATTTATGTCCCTGATATCTACAGTGAATATATCACTGTATAGAAAATAAATAATAATTAATTAAATACATAATTCTGGATAATTAAAAAGTAGGTAGTCCATGGAGTAGGTAAACATGTTGTGCCATATTCCTCCTCATCTTTGAGATACTGTATTATATACTGATCAATAATCACAGAGAATATTACCCTTTCAGATTCTACTTTCCACAAAGTAAACAAACGAATGCAAGGAAAAGGAATTCGTATGGGATCAGTATTCATCAGAGAAATGTAAATGTAAACCACAATGAGATACTACCTCACATCAGTCAGAATGGCAATTATTAAAAAGTCAAAAAACAGCATATACTGGCAAGGTTATGGAGAAAAGGGGCCGCTTATACACTGCCGGTGGGAATGTAAATTTCCACTGTGGAAAGCAGTTTGGCAATTTCTCAAAGAACTTAAAACAAATTACCATTCGACACAGAAATCTCATTATTGGGTATCTACCCAAAGGAATGTAAATTGTTCCACCAAACAACACACCCACACCTAAATTCATCACAATGGCAAAGATATGGAACCAACCTAAATTCCCATGAATTGCTGACTGGAGAAAGAAAAGGTGGTATGTATACACCATGACATACTATGCAGCCATTAAAGAATGAG